CTACTGTTCCACGTGCATTATATTGTTTGTTTCTGCGTTGCACGCTTTATATTATATAACTTCAAGCATATTTCCTTTTTGTATAGGATGTTTAGAGGACTACAACCATAGGACCGTTTGATTTAACACTATAACTGGACACCCTAGAAAACTTAAACTCGTCATGTCAGGGAGCTTGGAGCTAACGCAGTGGGCAGCATGACCATCTTCAACAGCAGAACATGTCTTCCCCAACAAAACTATTCCTTTTCCTAGAAATTAAATAACAGTCCATAGGATTTCGAGGTTGTTTGCCTAGTGCAACATAAATCCTCCACCTTTTCTTTAGGCATTCGCATAGCTCTGTCGTACGATTTAAGCCCTAAACTTGTTCTAGGTTTTGAGGTCGTCGTCAGATACGATGTAAACTCTCATATCTTCCAGGCAACTTGTGTGACCGTGTCACGCGAATATAAGCCTTAACTAAATAAAATTGGCAGGATGAAACACTTTAATAATTTCTTCTTAAAGTTGAAGCCAAACCATAGGATAGACTGGGAACCTACTGAGGTTCGCCTCAGGATCTGTGGCTTCCCCTAGTTTCTCTTCATTTGGATTCCTTAATTCCAGATTTGAGCTTTTCCCCTTCACACATCTTTGTCCGATTTTGTTGTAAAGTCCTATCCTTTTGACTTATTCGAAGATGATATTCTCTGATTTTTATCGAGAGTTTTCTTAGGTGACTTCGGTCATTTAAGATATAATTAACTATAGGGGTTTGCCCTTATAGGAAGCTTTTCCGAACCCAGCTTAAAATAAACCCTATTTAATCATTTGTATTAAATAGGGGAACTTGTCGGCAAATAAAACGGTTTCGCAGACCCAAACGGATGGCATATGTGTTCTTAGTTTATTTATATATATATATATATATACGTAAATTAAAATGTCCTTCCGAAGCGGGCGATGGGATTTCAATTCCGGCTGCCGACAGCTTCTTATGGACAACCCCCAAACAACCTCTTCTTTTTTGTGCCGACAACTTCTATCCCCATTCCCCCATTCATGCTTCGGATGAAGTTACACCCGAGAAGCATTTCAATTCCATCTTTTTTTTGCATATCAAGACAATAAATTAATGGAATTCTGAAGTTATGTTCATTAATAATCATCGAACCTGCTTTGAGCTTCTTGTTGACACTAGTTGTTCAGTTAACTTCGCTGAATGAGATTTGATAGTTTAATTCTTCAATGGCTGGAGCTGGGAATTCACTCATGCAAGCGCAACATGATGTAGCCCATGTGTCTACAATGGTCTTTAAAGAAAATATATCAATTCCTGGAATTTTAAATTCTATTACCAGGTTAAAGAGCCTGTTTAACATTCTTTTTTGGGCAGCATGAGATTGTTCTTTAGCGTGTTCACTGAATAATTTTACACCTGAGCATTCTCCTTGCTTGTTTAATGCATGTTCTTCATCATCTTCATCCCATGCTTCATCTTCTTCGTTGATTCTCATTTGTCATACAAAATTATACATACAAATTTATCATACAAAATTGAAGTTTGTTGGTATAGAAGCATATTCATATTTGAGAGTGAGAATCAAAGAAAGATCATACTCAGATTCATCAAATTTGAGATGTGCTCAACTTATGTAGTTTCTATAGATACTGTAGTTTTTTTGTACCATTTCTTTAAGATTAAACTATCTTCAAATAAAAGTTAAGCTTTCCCTATCAAGAGTACTAAATCCTATATTGAAATGGTCAATGGATCGGGCCTTCTAATTGTTTAATGATGCCTAGTATTTTCTGCAATTTGGCTATAACACTAAAAGGTTTATTTCTTGCAATGATTTTAAAGTTTCCATAAAAATCTATAGCACAGAATTCAAATGTCAGCCAACTACCATAAATTGGATGATAAAATAATAGGTAAATGAGCTAAAATTTTAATAGAACTGGCAATCTTAAAGTTATACCTTGATGAAGGATGGAAAAGAGACGCACAAAACCACCCTTGTGTGCAACCAAGCTTAGCATAAGTACTCTGCATTGCAAGGAAAATTTTTTTATTTTATCCAAATAATGCAATTAAAATATATCAATCAGCTCCTTCTAGCTTACAGTTAAATCAACTTTTTTAGTTTATCACTATACCATGCATGATATGAATATAAATCCAGAGGGAACTACAGCACCATAACCCGAGAAAAATTGCAAAAGATTCCAGCTAAGGAATATAGTTCGCCTTACTAGTTTGATAATTACCATACTTATTCCACATTAAGAAAAAAAATAGAAACATGCAAATTACCCCCTCGCTCTCTCCAAAATGAAAGGCAACTTAGGTTCTAAGATCTCCAAAGTGGAGCCATTATGGGTTATGAAAAATGAGTTAAAGATACACAAACATCCAAGTCAAGAACTCTCAATTTTAACAAAAACTCATTAATTTTGATGAAACCTAAAATTACAAATAAAATCAACTCAAACGATATTTCATTCGCCTTCTACTAAAAATTATGCATACAAATTCAAAATCATGAAAAACATATAATTAGTTAAAAAACAAGCATTCATAGAAACACGTATTGTGTCAAATATGAATAAAATTAATCACGCATTCAATATAACGACAAATTTTTAAAAATAAAATGAAGTAGAAGGAAGTAAGTAACAAAAGAAAATAAGCCACATCCGTGTTCTAGGAGATAACTCCCAAAAAACTTTAAATCCCTCATTTGATCAAGGATTTGGCTCTTGAAAGTAAAAAGAGGCAATCCAACCTGAATATTATTCAAAATCTATATAAAATGTGTTATGTACAAGTTTAACCTCTATATATGATTAAAAAAAAATTGTCAAATTTTCGTTTCAAGTAATACCTCATCAGCATCATAAGATACATGTCAATGTTATTGAGTTAAACCCATGTTGATTTTGATGATAAAAAAAACACTTCATATGTATTTGGGCATGTAGCACTACCTAGAATGTGATAAATAAAGAGCTAAAGAAAACTCATTCATGCCTTACATTATCTCTCATATTTTTCAATGATATTGTGTTACGATGACTACTAAGAGAAATTTAGGGTCTGTTTTGGGCAGCAGCAGGTTATTAATAAATTATTGCACAAAAGCTAGTTAGTTGTTTGTTTTTTTGCAGTTTGAAAACAGTTATGTTGCTGTTGTTTCTGGACAAATGATCATTTCTCCCTTATATTATAATATTGTTTATAACATAACTGTTCATACCAGCTCTATCCATACTTGAAAGTAAATATCCAATTCGAATGTTACAAAATAAAAATAGACACCTCACTAAACAGTGAGTAGCACGACTATCAAAATTAAAAAAAAATAACTACTAAAATAACGATTAATTAGATGATAATATTATTTTTAAAATATAGCTGATGTAGGTCACGAGACAAGCCGTCCTCCAGAGAAGCTCGCCACGCCAACTCACTATCAGTTGCCGATTCCTAAAACCATTTGCCCACCCAAAAAAGTCAGTTTTCTTGTCTTCTCCTTAAACACCTGTAAAATTGTTCTCATAGATATGCGGTTGTCGTGAAGAAAGCAAGGAGCACGGTAGTTAGCAATAGCAGTGCAATCCTCTGGAGGTACCGGAAATCTTTGAACTCATCTTTTATAAAGGTTTAACACAACAAAACACAAATACTTAGATGCAATATTAGTGAAAAAAAATATAATTAAACAATGCAAGTTTACTAAACCTTGATGTCTCAAGTAACATAGCATAAACCAACGAATCTGTCACTTCCAAAAGACAACAGACCTTAAAAAAAGGTTCTCGGTTGCCTTCAAAACACGTAATGTCAAGCTCGTATGTGTCACATATACACGTCAACAAAAAAAAAATCATCCAGAAAAGCATTAAAAAACTACAACACTGAAAAAATGAGAAGAACTTTGTTGCTTTCATTGCGATTTCACATGTGACAAGAACCAATAGCGACAAATAGGTCAACCAGAAGAACTTTTAAGGTCTAATGTCTCATCACTGACCTCCAAATAATCAAAAATAAACATGCAATAAATATTCATATATCATATTATACCTACGATTGCCTCTTTGGCCATCCAGGTGAGTATTACATGCAAAGGTGGGAGAAATAAAATTGAAATTTAAAATTTAAACGATTTGACAAAATATCGATACAACAAACGACAAAACTTTTCATCAGCCATCGTAAATAAAATAGCGATAAAAAAAAAAACTACAATTGGTCCATTCGATAGCCAACGATGGCGTCTATAATCCGCTCTCTCAATTCAATCATTTCCCCAGCACTTCACCATCTTGGGTGCAACCCTCAAGTGATTCAAACTTCATCTCGTCAATTTTCCTTTACCGTGGATTCCTTTAGGGTTGTTGTCTGCTCCCGTATCATTAATCATCCCTTCCTGTGAGATGCCTCTAGCTTCCTAGTGATTGATGCTGACCTTCTTAGACTCCTATCGAATCCCTTCAAATGTTGTTATTCAACCTCATAGAGTTGTTGCTCCCCTTCTTTCATTGATGCTTTAGGAGATGGGATCTTCTTGGTCAGTCTAGCCTCACACCACAAGCCAACCACTGCCGTTCACAACATGTCGGCTCCGGTCTTCTTGAGGCAAGAGATTTCTGACCTAGCAGGTCCTTTTTCTTTCATTTTGGTTGACAAGTTTTCATTTATCACTAAGCTTGGAGATTATTCGACTTTTCAGGTTTGATCTTCATCCATCAAGAGATTTTTTTTTTTCTAGATACGTGCCACGTGTTTCTTCACGTGTTTCTTAGATTATTGCTGAACATTGATTATTGTTGGGTTTTCACTAAGCATCCATATTATGTTAATGGCCTGCATATATGAATGTTACTTTCCCAGAAATTAAAGTTCATTAAATCAAAAAATTCACATTATATTCTTTTGGTTCAATCTTTTGCAATTCATTTCATATATATATGATAGTGAGCTGAATAAGACTAAAAAAAGGTTGAATCAAACTACGAAGGAGTTAAATCAAATCAAATTTTAAGCTTTTTAAGCCCACCTTTGTTGTCAATATTTATCTTTTTATTAGGTTTATATTATTAATTGCAATTACCATTTTGGATAGGAAGAGGTTTGAATTTGAATGCTTTGCTGGGATTATTTTTAATTTTATATGGAGTCAGATTTAAATTCAAAATATTTGATATTTTTGCAACCCTGTTTCTATAAAGAAAATTTAATAATTTCCATTTCAATTCATTGAACATTGTTTTTAAAATTTTAAGCCTTTTTAAGCAACCTTTTTTTGTCAAAATTTATCTTTTTATTAGGCTTATATTTTAATTTGAATTATCTTTTTGGATAGAATAGGTTCAGAATTAAATTCAAAATATTAGATCTTATTTTTGCAACCCAGTTTCTATAAAGAACAATTAATAATTTCCATTCAATTCATTGAACATTGTTTATTAATGAATAAAACTATTTGTGAGACTAATATAATAATTCATAATTAAAGTCAGTGCACACGGAGTTTTCATCTACACACTTCCATAAATCTAGTACGTGAGCAAGTTTCAATCAATTGTCACACTTTTAATTGAATTGATCAACACTACTGCTACATTGAACCTGATTGTGCTAACTGCAACATTCCTTACAACATAATCCTCTTATCATGTGGAGCATGATTATGTTGGCCAATTGTTCGCTCGGAGCCCTCAGTTTCGCTGATCAAGCTTGATGATGAATCTGTGGGGGGATACCAATTGGGTGTCCCCACCATTTTGGGTTCGAGGCACTACTCCCTTACATGGAGCTCAAGCACCCGGAAGACAGTTCTGCAACGCCCAGTCCAAATTTTAGAGCTAGAGAACACACAAAAATCTATCTGGTGATGCCTCTACATAAACACTTTCAAAAACTTCCCCTCTAGTTCCATATTTTAATTTGTCCTAACAAATCTTAAGTTGTTTTACAGTTCAACTGTAAATGTCAGAACTATATTAATGTACCATCTATCATGCTAGTTCTTGTGAAGAAGTTCATGATGGAATACTTCTTAAATGGTAAATTTGACATTAAGGATAACTATGAGTTATAATTATGATAGGAACGAGATAAATTCCACAGTAATTAGAGCAAAAATAATAGATTATATTCCACAGGTACTAAAATAAAACTATACAACCTCGAATACATAAAAAGATAAACACCAATAATTTGAGAGATAGGCAATCTCTCCTAACACCCTAACTCCTAAGACTCCAAAACAACAATCACACATAACCTAATCATAAATATATTAGGCCCTATTTATATCCTGCAATAAGAACTAACAAATGACTAAATTACCCTTTTAATCTTGGGCATAACATAAACTTTCAAATTATTTGGTGGGCTTGTCTCAGTGAAGCTCTACGAGGACGACGCCTATGTACGGCGTCGGCCTAACATTACTCTCACAAAAAAAGGCACATAGTCAACAAGGTGGAAGACAGAAAATTGTTGTTTGATAAAGTCGTATGGCTACCACTCAGAAAATGATTTGAGTCTGGCCCTCGCCATCAACACTTAAATGAAATAAGCTCGATCGTTGACAATGCATGAGGACTTCACCTAACCCATGGCCTGAAGCATCCATCTCTACAATGAATGGATAGCTAAAATCAGGTAACACCATTACTGATATACTCGTCATTACCTTTAGCTTCTCAAAAGCCTAGTGTGGCATCAATGGAGAGAATAATATCAGCCAATCAGAACATGGGAAGAATTCAAGGACTGATTGTTGGAGCATTTCAAAACCACACGGCGCTGGAAGGGGATTTACACGAGTGATTTTTTTATATTGGTCAGGGAATGGTCCGTCATGAATTATAGGGAGAAATTTGAGATGTTATCTATCGTTTGAGAAGGATATCAGAAGAAGTCTTAGAAGGAAACTTCATGAAAGGGTTGAGGCCAACAATTCAAGCAGCTTTTCATCTCTTGAGACCAATTTGAAAAGAACGAGACAAACTTCCGCAGAGATTTGGGCTGAA